GAAAACTCTTAGTAACCTTTACAACAACATGCAAAACTACATATCTGTAGTCAATTAAAATAACGGAGCCAGTCAACTGGGTATTAATATAAACGGTTCAACACTTTTAGTATCAATCCTCTCAAGATATCAAATGTCACCATGAAGCAACTCTATAAATACAGGTGTCCAGATGCTCCTCTCAGCTGGGTTGTGAAAAACTACAAACCACTTTGAGAAGCATTATTGCTTCCACATGAACCAGCTGGAATCTGATCAACCAGCAGTAGGGTTGCTTTATTGTGAACGGCCCTGCCTTCACCTTAAGCGAATCAGTGTTGCAAATCGGAGGGAATGTGAAACAGAATCCAACAGAAGAATGTATGCAATTCCACAAAAAAACCCTGTATTTTACGATATACTATACCATATGAAACGCATGAGAAGATCACGGCAGTCTAAGAGGAACAGACTGGTTGTGTTATTTTGAGAGATGTCCGTAGTGCAGCAGATAAACTTTCAGCATTCACATCTGTGGAAAATTGGAGTCAAGCCATTTTTAACTGATCTTCCACTGAGAGTTTTATCTTAAAAAATTCAAAAATACTGGGAATAACCTAAAAAGCTCAGAAGAGCTCCGACAGTATTTGTGTTGACCCTTTGGTTGGTCATTTCTTTGGTCCACCTCATGAACTTCTCTGCAACTTCATAATTTACAAATGTGACTTCATGTCTAACAACATTGACTTCATTGATAACTAACTTAACAATTGCAATTTTATTTTGGACAACTGCAAATTTATCACAGTTGCGACTTTATCTCTCACAATTCTGTCTGTTCCTCACATTCTTTATTTCTCAGATTTGCTTTTTTTATCTTTCACAATTTGCAACTTTATTTCTCGTTACCGTAACTTTATCTCACAATTACAACTTTATTTCTCACAACTGACTATTTATCATAAAAGTAACTTTCTTTCCATAGCAGTTTTTTTTAAACAACTGCTAATTTATTTCTCACAACTGCGACTTGATCATATCTATAACTTTATCTCTCAATTGCAATTTTATCTCACATCGGCCGCCCTGATTTCTAAATATCGGCATCGGCCAGTGAAAAAGTGAAAAGCCCATATCGATTGACCTCTAATATGATCCTTACGATAACAAACCCACAACGTTCCACTTCCTCTAACATTCTCTAACCTACTGGGAACAGTAGGAAGGGTTATAAAGGAAACATCAAGGAGGAAGTTAAAGACTTTAAAGGTGACGCCGCTCCAGACAAGCAGGACAA